GGAGATTATCTCCGCTCTTATGGACTTTCATTTTAATCCTTTGTGTAGTTGGGGATTCAAAGAGAAAAAAACCACATATCTGATTTATTTTAAACTGAAGAACAGAATTTTAATCACATGCTGCTTAAAATGAATTTGCTGCCTCTACTATTCAACTTGTTTCATTTACCTACCTTCAAATACCTTGTAAAAGGTACATTTTTAAAGTCAAAGAAGTATGACCTTGGCTATTGAAGCAGGCTTGAGAAAATATATTTATGCTCCCTACTTTAAACTCTATTGATTGCCAAGGATTCAAGAGTTATTGTAATACATTCAAACCTGGTATTTTTTTTTAATGTCCGTAGAAAATAAAATATATAAATCATTGAAAATTAACAGATTCTATTATGTGGGCTCTACTCACAGATCAGAGCTTATCATATGCTAATCAGTATACAACTAGAAACACCCTATTTCCACGGATGCTCTTCTGCTCATTTTCTTTAGCAAAAGAGTATGACAATATACTGCTTCATTTTACCAGATGGATTTGCTGAAAATCCTTTAGTCGACTATTTAAGTTCAGAGCACTTCTATGCAGGTTAACAAGCAAAATTTATCACTGGTTTCTGGGGAGAACAACGGTTGTTTTATCTTGTTTGACTAAACCAGCTATTACTGGCTCTTCATGCTAAGACAATTATCAGTGAGTGACATTTAATAATGTGAAGACTTTGCTCCTCAGAGAACTTACAGTAAATAGCAACAGAGTGAATTATTTTGTGTTTTCCTTCACTATTACTCCCTTGAATGCCTTGAGAAGTAGCAAACATTTCAAGTACTCAATGACACTAAAACTCCTGAGACCAGCTGACTTTTCCCTGCACCCACAGACCAATGAATACCTCATCATCAGCCTGCTGAAGCCTGGCAACAGCATAGCGCCGAACTGTTGGGTTGGTGAAGTGGGATGACAGAAGCTCTAGAGAGTCTTCCACATCCATGGGCTTCCACTTGCCCAGCAGCTCCAGGGCTTGCTTTGCCTCTTGTGGTAGATCCCAGTTGACACATTTTAAGAATTTTGTCAGGGCCTAAACAGAAAGAGATGGGACAATTCATCAGTAAAACAGCAGACTAAACAAATTATTTCAAAAATTAACGTTTTTCATTAAGGTAGAACTAGATTCAGATTATATTTAGAAAAGCACAGACCTTGTTGATATAAGTGACAATACAATATTGAGCTGTTTTAATATGTCCCAAAAAACAGCAGTTGAGTTATCCAAAGAAAATGTAAAGATAATTGTTACTGCTCTATCACAACTACCACTACATAAAAAAGTCCACTGATGAGGGATTATTTTGTTATTCAATTTACTCTAGGTTTTCGGTGTGCTGCTCCTTACTCTGGTAATGCTAACCCTTGTCTAAAAAGGATGAAGAAGCTCCTCCTCAATAATTTTTTCTGCTGAAGACAAAACTGGTGAAACTGGCATTTTAAGCTGACAGTCAGTGTTTGTAGAAAGACTACTGCAGTAATAGCCAGTCCACATGATTTAATGGGAAAATTTTCAGTCACTAACTTTTAAAACAGTAACATTACAGAAAAAATAGAATAATCTTGACTCGCTTCTATGACATTGAAGCTCTGTATGTCTGCAAGGACAGGATGTTGTAGAAAGACTGCCAAGATGATGCTCTTCTTGCACTAGTTTTATCAAACAATTCCAGATCATTACTAGATGATCTTTAAGGTCTCTCCCAACACAAAACATTCTGTGATTCAACTTACCTTCTCCTGATGAGTTAGGTAATATCTGAATTTCCAAACCAAATCCTGTTCCTCGTACGTTAGCTGCTTTGTCGGTGGATAACTCACTATGATCTATTAGATACATGGTCAGAAAGTGAGTTTAAAAACATCAACAGGCAAATGAGCAGCAAGTTAACGCAGTACACAGTGACAAAACCCAACACTGACAACACATAAAAATAGCTAGGGGTAAAAAAAGAGCTTTCCAACAACACAAAGTTCTCATGCTATCCCGGTGATGCTCCTCAGCTATGTTTGATTGAACTAGCAGTGAAGACAAACATACAGAGTTACTTTAGGACTACCATTCACACCTACATGGTACGTACAAAAGACACATTCTCACCCACCCAAAACTGTTGTACAAAAAGATTAGCAAGTACCTTCTGTTCCTTTCTGAGCTGGACCCTTCTAACTAAGCCTTTGTAACAAATGCTTAACAGCATTTCATCATTAATGGTTTTCTATAAACTGAAATTAACTTGTCACCAATTAAATATATTATGACTAACAATATATTATCAAATATATTATCACTAACCTACCTAATAAAACTGAATTTAGCCATCATATGAGTGACTTACATTAAGCTGATCTCGTGTAGTTGCATTAGGCTTCAGGTCATGATCAGAAGGTCCACTTCTTAAACTTCGAGCAAGCTTGTGATGTTTGCTTTCTACTAAGTTCTCCTAAACGCAGAGGGTAAGTCAGTATTTATAAATACTCAGTCAAAGAAAATTACTACTGAAATGAAACCACCTAGCGAAGATCACCAGCCTCTTGGAAAACGCATGGCAGTTAAAATTCACATCTAAAACTACAGTGCCTTCTGGCCTTTTGTTTGTTTGTTTTACAAAAAACTGCTTTAATACTAGGTGAAGGGTTGTCGGGATTTTTGAGGGTTTGTTTTGGTTTATGACTTCACACAGTTAACAAACTCTACCTTGCCTTCTGGTGAATTGCTGCAAAATGTAAGCATTTCAGTCAACACATACGTGATTGACAGCACTCAAACGTGCTAGACACTTCAAAAACATCTTTTCAGGATGATGTTTGCAGCATAAAGCTTTGTATGCAAGAAAAACATCTCAAAAACTTGTCCCACTGTTAATACCATGTTAGAAACAGTAGGAGACACAAAAGGAGCCACAGTGCCAATGAGATTTCAGCAGCCAAGGCAGTTTCCAGCATTGTCAGACTTGCTCTTGCAGTGTTAGATTACAAGGTGCTCAAACAGTGTTGCCAGTACAAGCCCACTTACATTAAGGTTCCCAAAGCTGCCAATACCTGTCCCACTGAATTGGCATCCACAATAATGGAAATCTTTTCTAGAACTGTATTTAGGCACTGTCTACATGAAAGACAACATACAAGAAAGTGTAGGGAGAAAATATTTTAACAGATGAATTGACCAAGAGTTACTGCACCAGCCTCTAAATTCTACTTTTCTCTTCTTCAGCTCCCTCTTACCTTACATTCCCACCCTCTGACCTCTTTTGCCAACAGTCCCCCTTCTCTGCTTTCCTACATACACGTCAGAAGCAAGCACATTAAGTAAGGAAAGGAGCAGATGAACATAAGCATTAAATCAATTATTTATTTTAAACTAGCAGCAGCAGAAAAAGAAATTATAAAATTCAAAACCACTGATATTTCTCAACTGGTCAAATACATCTTTCCACTGGAATTTTAAAGTATTCAAGACAGCAAGCTTTCATCTCTATAAAAAGTTCAACAAAAATACAGATGGTATTACATGGAGCATGCTTACCATAGACATCTGGGGATCTGGAATCTTAACAATTTCAGGACTTGTTAGAATTGGAGATGACTCATCACCATCCTGAATGACAAAAAGTTAAAGACATATTAACCACATTAACCAATTTATCTTATTATTGCACAGTGAATTGTACTACAGTGAAAGAATGATGCAACTGCACCTTATTTGACAGTTATAAAGGGAAAAAAGAAAATAAAAGATGGAATGTTTTTCTTTTTATTTTTCCCAGATGATACACATTGTGGCAAGAGAGATGGGAAGTTCACCCGAGGAGATACAGCTTGGCAACTCACTACTCTGCTGGCATCACAGGTGAGTGGAAAAATTTGCCATTATCATTACACATGTCCTGTGGAAGCACAAAAGGAAACTAAACCAGGTTCTGTATTTCCACCAAAACAAAATAATATCCTAGAAATAACTGCCATGTTGAAGAAAAAAACTTCCTAAAAGTTCAACACAGACAAATTTAGGAAGATATATAAGTACCTATGTAGAGGGGTTCCAGAGGCCTTCCTTAGATGGGTCTAACCTATGCTTCATAAATAAAGGAAGGAGAAGGTAAAAGATTCCTGCTTGAATCAGGGAGAAGAAAAAGAAATTAAGAGCTTGCCACCACATAACAAAGCCAGCAACTCTGTTGTTCTTCCTCAGTTTATCACAGCAGTGTGGTTTCAGGCTTTTTAAACTTAGAAGTGTAAAGAAGCATTAATTGCCATGAGTTACAAAAGAACATTTAATTTAAAAGACAGTATAAAATAGTAAAACACAAAACAAGACAACATCAGCATAATGCGTGCTATGATCTATTTATACTTAGTTTGTCCTCATTTTCTTTGCTGCAAATTTCAGCCCAAAATAAGGTTCTTTCGACATACTAACGTTTCCCTCAGTAATGTAACTTTGAGGTAACTTTGCGGTAATTTCTGCCCCCACACTCCTTTTTCTTTTCTTTTTCCAATCACATATGCCTCTTGGGATAGCTTTGCTTCTATAATTTTCAGAGGTAACTTTCAAAGGAGAGGCTTGTTTCAAGGGGAAGAAAAGAATCATTCATCACCAATGAGAAACAGGAGTTAAAATTGCCATTAACCTTCCAGGAGAAACATTTTTTCTCCAACTACACAAATTTTGTGTCACTGACTACAGTTAAATATCTCTTATTATTAAAATGCACGTTCAGAAAGACACTTGTATCACATTTCTTAGTGTCCTATGCCTTTGTGAAGTAACAGTAATTCTACAGTAAAAATAAAAGCAGTAAGAGCACATACATCATTCCTAGTTAAGAGAAATAAACATACAATCTGGATGTGGTTGGTGACGATCCCAAAACATGAGTAATGCTTTTCCAATTAGTCTTTAAAAAAAAAAAGCATGCATGCAAACATTGAAGAGGACCATGACATTTGCTTACAGTTTCTCTGCTCTAAAACCATACTGCCTAAACGATGAACTTAGCTTTGACCTAATTGCATAGAATTAACAGTATTTCCAAAGTACTTCTATAATAACAAAGTACTGCTGCTTCACTGTAACAACAGACTGAACTGAGCTGGAGCCACAGTGACAGATCATCATTCACATTGTACTAAACCTTTGCCATCTCATCAGACAGAATGTTCAGATCATGCCGATCTAGTTTTACAAAGTCTAAGTATATAAAAAACAATGGAAGTGTTGGGGATGGGAAATCATTATCTTCATAAATGCATCTGGTGACAAGAGACAACAAGTAGATAGACCGATTTCTATCCACTAATTCTTTATCTTCCAATTCAAAACCATAACAAGACTGCAGTCTGATTTCTCCTTAATGTGACAACAAAGAATTCCAATGTCCCAGTGACAAGATTCCACTTCATTTAAAACCTTCACATAAAAATCCTGTATGAGAAATTGACACAGGAGTGGATTCAGTACTAACACAAGCATTCAAAATCCTACTAAGGCACTTTTAACATCCATGTCCCACGTGGATTCCCTAGGGATAAGCACCCTATACTACTACATCTTTCCCTCAGTGAAAAAAATTCAGTTTTGTAAACTGTAAAAGGAAAGCTTACAGGCTGGTGAAAGTGGAACACCTACCCCACAATCAGAAGCCTATGACAGCTACTAACAACTCAGAACTCATCAGAATGAGAATGACAAAAGCACTATTACCTAAAGTTTGCTTACCTACAAAACCAAAAAAAGGTGCAAAGCCTTCCAGTGCCTCATGTCCAAATGTTTATAACACCTTCTAAAATAAAGATTGGAGATTTTTTTCCAAGACTAGTGTTAGAAGAATGATTTCTACACTCTTTGCTGGCATCTCTTTCTTGAACCTTTCAAAAGAATAATTATAATGACTGCTCCTTAAACTCCTTGAATGCAGTTAGATTACACTTAACAGAAAAGCTGAAAGGTTCTAGGCACTGAGGTCAAGCACCAGGAAAATTGTTCCCAGCGTTTCATTGTGTTACAGAACAAAGCCTCAACCAAAGGCTATGAAACCAAGTTTTGCCAAGATTTGTGGGACAAGTAACTGTGTCAGGAGTCAACATTTTCCAGGAGATTGTTTCACGAAAACCTCAAGAAGGCACAATTACATGAATTTTCTTGTAAAGGATGTCAACTGTTGAACTACCCTTTTGACTGGATTAATATACAGCTCTAACTGTCATGCCTGGAGAGTATCATATGCAGCACCACAACCCTGACCACAGAAACTTACTAAACCACACCAGTGCCTAAATTACCACTTGAATTTGGTCAGGTGTGTGCTTTTGAAGTGTCTTTCCTGTTATCCCCATGTAGTGAGTTTTAGCTCACATCATGGAAGTTTTAGAAATCTCTGACATTCTCCACCTGCCAACAGTCATCCAGCCCTGTGGGACGTGATGAAAGCCAGTTCCCAAAAACAAGAACATGGTGCAGACACTGGGCCTGCAGCAACCTCCTCACTCCATGAATCTGCTGCTCTTGGCTGCAACACTTCCCACAGCAACCAGAACCTGGGATGACCTGCTATACTGCCACCAGAAAAGCAACATCAACACTAAACAGCACTAACTTGCCGTAAACTGCTGTGTTACAGAGCTGTAGAGGTATTTCACTACATTAAGGTCAGTGTGTGTGACTCTATATAAATATTAGAGTCCATTTAAGACAGTTGGCAAAATTTGCAAATTTTTCCAAACCAACGCATTCTTCTGTACTTGCCTGAAAATCAGTTTTGCAACACCGGTAAATAAGGAGGTTTTAATTATCTTATTATTTAACCAAAACATCATTTCAAGTAACACCAATGAGATCCAACTTCTCCCACACAAAAAGTAAAAGGACAAGCAGTGCTGCAGACACAATTTTTTCTTTCTTCAAATCCATGAAAAGGTCTCTGATAATCAAACTTCTCCTTTTCTTTTCAATAAACTGGATGCAGCAGTGCAATCATTTATTCAAACACAGGTTTCACTTGAAATCTGCCCAAAAATACATAAATGATAAATGCTGATGTAATTTGTTCTTGGTAATTCACACTGAATTTCTGCCTAAATGGAGAACCAGGAGAGATGCTCTCATTACTCGCTGACTCTATCCCTCACGTCTTGGGCGCTGTATTAAAATGAAGTCAACAGAGAACATGGAAAGAGACACTGTTACTTCATCGTAATTGAATGTCGAGTCAAAGAATCTCAAATTCTATCAGCCGCTGTTTAACAGGCTGCTTCTTCCTAAACACTTGAAAACAAATACATCAACAAAAGTGTGACAAGTAATCTCCACTTTGACTATCGGTCACAGGCAGGTGACAACAGAACCCACTTTCATTATGCTCAGTGCACTGGATTGGTGATGCCCCATACATATACTGCAGGCTGTAATTGGAAGCATGACAAAAACGAGAAAACAGGCACTAATTTATGTACCATTTCCTACTGCTGTCAGAAAAGGGTCAAGAAATTGTTGAAAAGCTACTTAATAACAACAAATCCCTCAAACTGCAGTTAGGTATAGCTCTAATATGTACTATTACACATTCAATTACTTTATTTCCACAAGAGCAGGCAATTTATAGTTATTCTGTTCCATGCACTCTTAACATGCTTCAGAAGCATCTGTCAAAAGAAAGATGCATGCTCGAAGTCTGAATCTTCTTTCCTGCACCTTGCACATCTGTAAAACTATAATGATGGGGGAAAAAAAATGTCATGTGTGTAAATCAGGAACAATTCATCTATAATGGCAGGTTGCTGGGGGTAAGGGAGAGAAGTCATTTTTAGGAATGTCATGTTCTTTCACGAAAAGAAAAGAGCCAAGAGGACACAAAACCACACAGCAGGCATCCTCCTCTGTTTGCACCTGAGAAATGTACAGAACATTCTCATGTAAAAAGCTAACTGTTAGTAAAACATTTAAATGTTTTTTATCATATTCTGTTATGCTCTCCAGACAAATATTTCCTTCACTTCCACAGAAGTAAAGAGCTTTACTTTGTTTCATGGGGGAATCTGATACATCGTAGGTTTCA